TTGGTAAACATTTTCTTCCCTGCAGTTAGAGCACCATCATAATAGTAGGAGGAGCTGCAGCCCCCTCATCAGCCCCTATTTCCTGCATGTTTGGGAAAAAATTTATATTTTTTATTCAAACTGTAATTTTTAGAAAGACCATGAATGCAGACACAGCCCTCACCACCATAAATGTTATACTTTCTTTTTAGCTTTTGAGTCAAGTCAAGTAAAATGAATGTCAATGTGTTTGATATGTAAATAATATGTACTATAAATAGAGCTGCATTATACAGCTGTGTTTCTGTGGTGTCCAGAGAAATTCATTCATTCCTGTCTTCTGAAATCTATGGAAGGTGGAAGAGTGGCATATTGATTTATTCAAAAGCAACTCTATGGGGGATGTGAACTTAAAATGTATATATCTATTTGCACTGCAATACGAGACCTATTCTCTGGGAGGATACAACATAAATCTCAGGATTTTTTGTTCATTATTAGTGCAATTAGTGTACTACTAATAAGTGCAATTATGAAAAAAACCTTTACAAATACAGAATTGTATTGAACATACTGTATGAAGAAATAAAATAATTATTTCAGGGGTTAGGGGTACAGTGTAAGATGAGCTGTCAGAAATGTTATTTGGAAAAGAGGAAAATAATGGGAGGTTGGTTACTAAGATTTTTAAAATCATCATCTTAACCAGATGAAAATAATTTCATATTGTCAGCAGGTATGAGTTGAATATAACCTAAAACAATGAGCCAGGCTGCAGAGGGCTAAAGAGCTATTATTTATGATATCTACACTATCAACCATTTGAAATCATACAGGGCTGTTTGTCTTGAGTGATTCAGTGGAGCACCATGCAACAGTTATCGCCAGAATCATTTTTCTGCCCTTAGAGAAGCTAATTTCACTTATCTAACATTGTGCTGGAAGCTGTATTCTAACCCTTCTGAGTAAGTAGAATATTCAATAGGTGGTTTCAATTGATTTTTTTTATTAACCAGGAAAACCAACAGATTGCTGCATGTGTAACAGAAGGGAAGAAGGCAGCTGATCAAACAGGATCAACAAGCTCACAATCTGAAATCTTACAAATTATCTTTGAATACTGTGTACAACATAGAAGATCATGCTCCTGTAGCTTTCACCCAGAGTGATTGCATGGCTATCTTCTTTTATCAATAAAGATCCTGCCATCCCGGCAGAAAAGGGTTGTGGTTGGGAGGGCACAAAATGAACAAAATATAAATGATGAAGTCAAAACACAAGCCAGGCCCTAGTCCTTCCCCTTTATTTATTGTACAAATATATCTGGGAGACAGAGACAGAGCTTGTCTGATGCTGGGGCTCCGCTGACCTGTAGCCACAGCACTCTTGCAAAACAAAATCGTGCCAGAGAAAAAACAGCAGATAGGCCATATTTCTTGGCCCTAGTGACAGAGGGCCCGACTCAGTACCCCTCCCCCAGCCAGCCCGGCTCATTCTCTGGTCTGTGCTCCCTAATAGTTGGATGAGCAGATATAGGCTAATCGAGGACCTTGCCGTGACTCTGGGAGGTCAGGGGTGAAACAGATTGATAGATAGAACCTATCTCCCTGTAAGCACCTTCTGCTGAGCAAACAGTCTAATGACTCAGATGTGCTGTGCAAGTTTTTCAGCTTTGGAAGGGACCGGCCATGAGTTCACTGAGCTTGATATACTTAAAATTAAGTTGCTGTAAATGTTCTGCAACTACTATCATTTTACTGCCAAAACATATCATGAAAAGTTCTAAACTGGAAAAAGTGGAGCCTTGAATGAAGATTATTATTTTTTTAATTTGCACTTAACTTTTTCCTTACATGTGACTACCTGCTTAGAGATTCAAATCTGCATTTTAAATTGATTTATATCGTCATTATCAAAAGTTATATATCTTTCTATACCCACCTTTATATATTTGCATATATATATATATATACATTATATTTTTCACCTGAGTTAGTGTGCACTCAGTTGGTGTTTCAAGTGTTAGTCTTATTTTGTCCACACAATTCTGTGTATGATTTCAGCAGCAGCAGCACATATTATATCCTCCACAGATATCATACAGTTCAGTTAACACCTGAAACTGTTTCAGATGTGCATATCAAGGCTGACAGGCACTTTATCACCATATTGCATTTACATTTAATGAGCCTGTAAATAGATATAAATTTATATATATGGCAAATTTGTCATTTACATCTCTGTACTATTTCTTGAGAAATTCATAAAAATGAAAATTTGAAAGTTAGAAATCCTGGATCCGCCCCCTCGATGGAACCTGCTCCAAAGGTTGATGGGTTCCTTCCTGGCTCATACCCCACCCTTCCACCAGGTTTAAAAAAAAAAAACATCCTGATGAAACAACAGGTTTGTCGGAGGTAATAAAACATCTCAATGAAGGGGTATTTTTGCAGGACTGTTGTATTAGACCGCATTATTTTTTCAGGGGTTCCTCATAAACGGTTTACAATCATCTGTAAAATCTCTAATGATTTGTTTTCCCCAGGTCACCAATGGGGTGCTACATTTTCAATTTTACATAAATCACTCCGATTTGTGTTTTATTGTCTTTTTGCTTTTCCTGACAGGACATTTGCGACTTGACTAATTGTCTTCAGACCTCAGTCCCAAAGACTTCCCCATCATCAAGGTTGGTGGTTCGATCCCAGTCTTCCATAGATGCAATGTATGAATGTGTGTGAATGGGTAAATGGCAACAAACTGTACTGTAAAGCGTTTTGAATGGTCGTCAAGACTAAATACAGATCATTTTACTGTCAGTTTCTTCCAAACTCTACAGATTCACTGTCAAGCAGACAAGAGAATATGTGAGAATATCATTTAGAGCAAACATCTCTTACGTAGAGATGGATGTAGATGAATGAGCACACAGTAACTCTCGAGTGGACATCAGGGTGCTGTCTATCAATTGTCAGCTCTTCAATCCAACCCCTAACATTAATAAATTAACAAAACATATTTATATTCTGCTGTTGTAACTTCATCATCCCACTGGTAATTCCACATAATCAAACTATATGCATCATGTCGGTACGAGAGTTTGTCGAGCAATTTCTTTTCCACAATCTGCTCTTGGAATAACAACAAGGGTAAACCCCTGAGTGAGGAAAGACATAGACATGATTTTGACTTGACACAAAAGATGTGATTATATTGGTATTTCATTGTGAAATTGATTGTGAAAGATATATGTGCGCAGTAACGTTTTGTCTTTTACCAAGAAGTTAATTGGTAAACTGAATTTTAAGAACGCTAGAGGACTGTTAGAGGACTCTGCCTCCTCAAGGACAGGCAGTGGTCTGAAAAGTTTTACAGAGGGTGACCCTGAGGAAGAGATGAGCGTAGATAGAGAACCCCTCACTGTATGACAGAGACTGAACCCATCTAACAGTCCAGAAAAGGACGGTAATCAAATTCAGCAAATGGATGTGAGCTTTGTATCAACATCAGTGTCGTTTGTGTTTCCCGTCTTTAAAACTGTATGACGGCCAACAGTTGAGGACCCTCAGCTTTGTTCGCGTTTCCACACAATGACCCTCAGAAGCCTGACGGATCCTCAGCAGCCACCCCCTGTTTCCTGTGTCATCAGCTAACAATAGACAGTTTGACGTCTCACAGTGCTTACCAAGCAAAATGCCCTAACAGAGTCAATTGATATTAATGCCAACATAAGCTGGAACACCTCTGAATGCATGCATATGTGGAGATAAATATAGAAATATCCAGAATGAAACAGCCAACAATGAATTGCAAGCCAGTTTAAAAATAAACTGAGCAATCAGTAAG